TGTCTCCTGGGTTCAAATGATCCTCCCGAGTAGCTGGACTACAAGCGTATGCCACCCTGCCCAGCTATTTTTTTGTGTGTATTTTTGGTAGAGAAGGGGTTTCACCATATTGCACAGGCTGGTCTCAAACTCCTGACCTCAGGTGATCTGCCCTCCTCAGCCTCCCCCAGTGCTGGGATTACAGTCGTGAGCCACCAAACCCAGCCTTCTCCTCCTTATTTTGGGTTTTCTGTTATCCCCCAGTTTCTTTGCCTAGCTCTTGTTTTAGCTCTTGTTTGGATTCTTCCACCCTCCTGCGAGCACCCAGTGATCTTCCTATCTCATTCCCCCTTTGGAGATTTCCATCCCTTATTCTTAAGGGTTGATGAGGGAGGAGGTCAGTCTTCTGTGTTTTCTTGCTGATTTCAGGGCACTGGCCCTGCCTACCAAAAGATTGGAAATCTCTGGCTGCCTGGTCTAAGGGTCCCCAGGGTGCATTAGCAGGAGAGTCCCAAGCTGAGACAGGAATTGGCTGGAATCCTTGCATCACCATCATCTTTACATGGAGCTGCTATAACCTAGAAGATATAAACTTTATAAGGAAGTTGAATATGTGTGGGCCAAATATTTTTATTATTGTTATTGTATTTATTTTTTGAGACAGAGTCTTGCTGTGTCACCAGGCTGGAGTTCAGGGGCGTGATGTCGGCTCACCGCAACCTCCGCCTCTCAGGCTCAAGCAATTCTCCTGCCTCAGCCTCCTGAGTACCTGGGACTACAGGCGTGCACCACCCACCCCCAGTCAATTTTTGTATTTTTAGCGGAGACAGGGTTTCACCATGTTGGCCAGGATGGTCTCAATCTCTTGACCTCATGATCTGCCCGCCTTGGCCTCCCAAAGTGCCGGGATTACAGGCATGAGCCACCGCGCCCGGCCCAATGGGTCAAATACTAACAATAAGATCCCCATTAATGGGCCTAAAAGTGGTAAAACCAGGTAACAGAAAGAGCAGCCTTAACGCATTCCCTACGGAATCAGCCAAAAGGTGTTCCTTTCCAAAGGTATGAAGCCCTTTTGCTTGGTCAGTTGTGCGAGGGAGGGTGTGGTGAGGCGTGGCTGACTCCCAGCTTCCTGTCACGGCCTGAACCAGGTTTTCAGGCTGTTGCGGCTGCTGCTGTTGTTTCGATTCCCTTTGGCCAAGAGGGAGATCCATTCTGATGGGGGCTTCTATTTGTTTTTGGTTTTTTTTTCTCTTTTTTTGTGTCAACGTATCCCAGAGGCAGTGCTGATGGCCAAGCTTTCATTCTGGCCCATATTGAGGCCAGGGTGGCGTGCTACAGGCCCTGCGTCTGTCATGTCCCCTAGTGGGGCCCCTATGGCCAAGAGACTGAGTCAAAAAAACATTGCCAGTTAAACGTTCTAGACCAGATAGGAATGGAGGTGGGCAGGGACTCAAGCTTCAGCCTGTTTTCCCTTTGCTCCCCCTTTCCCTTTTGTGTGCACTTTTAGGTCTGAAGGTTTGTTCTTTCCTGCTGCCTTTTTTTTTTTTTTTTCTTTTTTGGCTTCGTTTCTACTTTTGCAGGAGCAGGGTTAGCGGACAACTGTGCCAATCTCCTCCTGGGCTTTTCCTTCACGGCCCCCCTGGCTGAGCTGACCTTTGTCTTGGGCATGTTGGTGGTGGGGAGGGGGCCTGCCGGGTGCCTATGGGCAGTGGCGAAACCAGAGCCTTCTGGAAGCTGGGCTCACCAGCTGCTGCTCCTCCTCCCACCACCCAAGCTGCCGAGACCTGTGGCGCAGACATTTTTTCCCTCAAGTTTATAGAGCTATCTGTAGTAGCTCACTCATGTATTTTGTAAAGAATACCCCACATTCCCCACTCCTCCATCTGCCACTTTCTTATCTACCGAATTTGATCTTAACTCCTCAAAAAGCTAGCCAAGTCTGGGAGAAAGCTGGAAAGCTTAGGATGGTAAAAGGAATGCTGTTCCAAATGCAACCTTGTATTATTTTTATACTGGAAACAAATTGGAAAACAGTAAAAACAAGAGGCTTTCATATTAGTAAACTGATGTCTCCAAGTATAAAACACACTTTGATAACTTATTTTTATGTAATCCTGACAAAAATAGAAAAATATTGTCTTCAAAAACCTAAGGATCAAGGTTTGAAAATATAATCAGATGAGCTTTTCTCTGTCCCTATAGTTCTTGGAATTTCAAAAGGTGCAGAAAACAATCTCTTCTGATGCCCAGAGCCCCAATGAGCAGTAAGAAAGGTACTCCTAACACATCTTAGGGCCTATTGTCTTCATCTTCCTTAGAGTCTCCCATGCTCAACATTTCCCCATCAGCTGCCTCACTTCATCTTGCTTTTTGTTCAAAGGCTTTTTAAAAAAGAAAATACCATACGCTGAGGGGAAAAGTTGCAGGGATGCATGCCACACTATAAACAATGGTCTCTGGAATATGAAGGACTTTTACTTTTTTTTTGGAGACAGAGTCTCGCTCTGTTGCCCAGGCTGGAGTGCAGCGGCACCATCTCAGCTCCCTGCAACCTCTGCCTCCTGGGCTCAAGTGATTCTCCTGCCTCAGCCTCCTAAGTAGCTGGGATTACAGGCATGTGCCATCACGCCCAGCTAATTTTTGTATTTTTAGTAGAGACACGGATTCACCATGTTGGCCGGCTGGTCTCAAACTCCTGACCTCAGGTGAGCTGCCCACCTCAGCCTCCCAAAGTGCTGGGATTACAGGCCTGAGCCACTGCCACCTGGCCGAGGGACTTTCACTTGAACATTTCTAAATTCCTACAATATTTACATTCAAATAAATGACTTACTTTTGTAAGCAAGAAAAACTAATTTTTATGAAAAGGAAATTGGTAATTATCGTATTGAAATAAAAGTTATCTAGTCATCCTTATTTTGATAACTTAATGTGAGATAAAATATCCCTATTTCCGTATTTTATATATTTTCATTTTATTATTTATTTTGAGACCAAGTCTTTATCTGTCACCCAAGCTGGAGTGTAGTCGTGTGATCATAGCTCACTGCAGGCTGGATCTCCTGAGCTCAAAGAATCCTCCTGCCTCAGCTTCCCCAGTAGCTGGGACCAGAGATGCGTGCCACCCACCTAATGTTCTGTAGAGATGAGGTCTGCTCTGCTGCTCAGGCAGATCTCAAACTCCTAGGTTCAAGTGATCATCCTGCCTCAGCATCCCAAAGTATTGGGATTACAGGTGTGAGCCACCACACCCAGCCTGTATTTGATTTTTTATTTACTTAGCAAACAGTATTTTTCACTTTCTTTTTCTACTATGGGAAAAAATCTACTCTGTAATCTACAAGGGGGGTGGGGGTGAAAACCTATTTGTAATGTGAAGTAGGCCATTTGAGACTGAAATCTAACAATGAGAGGTTGAGGGGGAATAATCTACTTAAAACAGTATCACTTAACTTTATACAGAAATGGCAACTTGGTACCAGGATATAAGTTAATATAAGGAACAGGAAGATACCACACAAAGAACCAATTTTAAAATGATCTCTTTTTAATTTCTTAAAAAGCACATTCACAGCACACTCCAAGAATGCCACACAGCAGTGGTTTGCTGCTCTTTGTCAGAATATGTCAGAAAACAAAACAAAAAAAGTTTTAAATGTTTTAAAAATTAGTTCTCTGAAATTTCTGTAAAGCCAGTATCACCAGTCATCTAAATCTTTATTTTGGAACAGTAAATCTTTCAAAAATGTAATTAGCATCTACCCAAAATCACACTTATCTGAAATGCAATTAAAAGCTATCCAACAAAAACAAAAATAAATATTTTTCTAGAAAGAACATATTTGGCATTTTTAAATAATGTTAAAAACAGCTTTCTGAAATGTAAATGATGTCTAGATTTTTACTTTCTATTACCAGACAGAAGGTTTGGATCTTTAGTGGTTCCAATCTGACTTCAGTAATAGGAGGAATGATTACGTTGAAGTTAACGAACTTCAAACCTAACAAAGCCAATATACTTTTCTAGCACAGTGATTGCTTTTTCAAAGTGGTGTCCAGCACGTACTAAAAACTACTAAGAGTAAGGCCAGAGAGCTCAAATTAGTTGATTAATTTGGTATCTAAATTGGGTTTGGTTTTTTTTTTTTTCCTGGAGACAGAGTCTCACTCTGTCGCCCAGGCTGGAGTGCAGGGGCCTGATCTCAGCTCACTGCAATCTCCGCCTCCCAGGTTCAAGCGATTTTCCTGTTTGAATTGTTTGAACCACACCTGGCCCCCAAATTGTTTTATATATACCTTTCATCCTTCGATTTAATATTTCTAATTTGTGATATTTCTCTGAAAATCAATCAAGTACACAGTTTTAGTGAAATGTAAATGGAATTTTGCTTCATTAACTAAACTAAAATATGTCAAACATGGTTCAATCTTATATTCTGTCCTCTCAGATAATTTACATTTTATTGATAAATGTAGATTAGCCACACTATGAGTTATATCCTAACCATTTTACCTAAATGTAGAAAAGCTGAAAGTTGACTGGATAGTTAAAAAGCTGTTATATATTTATCTCTTTCAGAAACCTATGATGCCTTTTCTTAGATATAAGTATGGAAAAAGAATTCTGTTCATTTTCATGATATATCAACAAAAATTACATGGCTTATGTCTATTTCTGTCAGCCATTCTGAAACCAAATTTCCATTTGTTCTACCCATTAAAGAGCACACATTTTCCTTTAGAATCACGGCCACAGTCTGGAAACATAATTGAGAAAGGCTAACTCTGGGCCAGTAAGATATTCAAGGAAAGATGCAACACAAAACAGGGAGGTGAATAAAGCAAATACGTTGTAATGAAACCCTCCCTTGTAAACACATCTGTCCTTTCCTCCCATATTTGGAAATGTTGCCTAAGTTTTAAAAATTATCATCAAGACATTTTACACCACAAGTCATGTAAAATTAGGTCTACTTCAGCCAGATAACCTATAGCTGTTAAAGAATTATATTATCCTGTTCATAAGATGAGAGGTAGTGACATTTTATTCTCTCAATGCTGAGCTAAAGATTCCACACATCTGGCACATGGGTTACAAGGGGGGAAGCAGAGAAGCACCATTGCCCACTCCCCGTGTTCTGGTATTTCGAGTCACCCACAACTTCATTTGCTATTGGCAGCTGACACTCACTGCTGTGTTAACACTGAAGCAGTGGGTATCAGTGCTATTCATCATATAGCACTGGTGGGTCTCCATCATCTTTCAAAAAAGCAGCAGCTTTCCTTCCATTCTTCTGAATGTGATCTTCATTCATTTTCTCCAAAGCTTCTATCTACAAAAAGAATACATTGAATCCATTTGTCAAAATCCTACTTTTCACAGAAACCATATTTTAGATTATGCTAGTAATTTTTTTCTTTTTTTGAAATGGAGTCTCACTCTGTCGCCCAGGCTGGAGTGCAATGGTGCAATCTCGGCTCACTGCAACCTCCGCCTCCTGGGTTCAAGCAATTCTCCTGCCTTAGCCTCCCTAGTAGCTGGGACACATGTGCCACCACACCCAGCTAATTTTTGTATGTTTAGTAAAGATGGGGTTTCACTATGTTGTCCAGGCTTGTCTTGAACTCCTGACCTCAGGTGTTCCACCCGTCTTGGCCTCTCAGAGTGCTAGGATTACAGGCGTGAGCCACCGTGACCGGCCAATTTTTTTATTTTTTAATGGAGTTTATGTTGCTCAGGCTGGTCTCAAACTCCTGGGCTCAAGAGATCCTCCCTCCTTGGCCTCCCAAAGTGCTGGGATTACAGGAATAACAGGAGTGAGCCGCCATGCCTGGCTGAGCCAGTAACTTTTACTCTCTTAAAAACTAGGTTATTCCTAATGATTCTGCCTTTGAGGTGAAATTACTGTGTGTGTGTGTGTGCGCGTGCCCGCGTGCATGTGTCCAAGTGTACACAGATAGTCATACATACATGTATTTTTTTTTAACTTGATTACAAGGGTCAATATTTACTAACTTTATCCAGCTAGCAATTGGAATCATCTATGTTTTGAAATGTATTCTATAAAACATTCCAGAAACAGGAAAAAGAGAATTCTATCATTCATCAAACAACAGTATCATTTACTTACTGAGCAACTGTATTGTGCTGGAAGCTGAATTTACTCTTTCTGTTATTTCTCTCTAGCCTTAGGCTAGGCACAGCTTACCCAAACTCAAGTCATCCTGGGGAGTTCTGGAACACTCAGTAATCACTCTCTGCTTTGGTATAATGTTGGGAATAATTAACTGTTATTTCACTTTTTAGATTTTGTTCAATTTTAAGAGATTTTCTCTGGAGGAAGCTTTTTCATGGTTCTCTAGATCTGATATTATAATAACGGGGTATTTCCAAAGATGGGCACTTCTAACTTTCTATGTTTAGTAAAGGGCAGGGACCACATGTTACTGCTTTTTGTATCACTCAGAGTGTTCATCAACTTCTGCATTCATTACATAGGGGAAATAGGAGTCTACTGAAAATGTGCAGCTCGCCCATCTTAACCAAATGGTGCCCTCTGTGAAGAAATGTTTTGCTGTGTGTGTATTCTGAATTTCAATCATAGAAAAAAACAGGCCGAGCACAGTGGCTCATGCTTGTAATCTCAGCACTTTGGGAGGCCAAGGAGGGCGGATCACTTGAGGCCAGGAGTTCAAGACCAGCCTGGCCAACATGGCGAAACCCCGTCTCTTCCAAAAATACAAAAATTAGCCAAGCATGGTGGCACACACCTGTAATCCCAGCTACTTGGGAGGCTGAGGCAGGAGAATCGCTTGAACCCAAGAGGCAGAGGTTGCAGTGAGCTGAGATCAAGCCATTGCACTCCAGCCTGAGTGACAAACCAAGACTCCATATCAAAAAAAAAAAAAGAAATGAAAAATAAAAAACCAAAAACATCTGAAGAAAAGAAAAATCTCAAATTAATTTTGTTTTTGGGGGAAAGGGAGGATAAAACTAGCTCTGGGTTTTAGTTATCTCCTCTATGCAGTTCTGTATGAGCAGTAAGGTGAAAAACAGCTTTTTATCACATACCTCAGCTAAAAAATCAGCTTCATTATCTGCTGAGATGTTTAAGCCTGAAACAGCATTGAAGAGTTCTCGCTCACTAAGGGCTTCCTTGACTCCTCCTTTCTGGAAAAACTAGAAAGGAAATACAAGAAAGTCAGTAAGAAGTATTAGCAAGGTTCTCAATAAACTAAGAACAGGGAGCTGCACATTTATAAAAAGACACCACTACATTCCTTCCCTCATTTCTCAACCATCGATCTTCCTACTTCCAAGCTGGACTATGCTCAGGTTCTAGTTGCTTTTCATCCTCTCACACATCCATCTGCCTTCTGGATTTAGCTCATCCCACTGCACCTCCTATAGCTATAAAAATGAGTGCTATATATAAAACCACTTGGCATTGCTTTGAATATGTAAAGGAAATACTTTCACTAAACCCCAGAAATTAAAATTTTCAAGCAGACTCAGAGGTTATGTCCAATATGAAGTTACTCTATCCTTTAGAAAGATCATTCCTATCTGAATCTACTGCCAACAATTCATTTCCCTTAGAAATGCCAAATAAGTATGACCCAACCCTGTGCTTACTGAATTTTACCTGATGTATATATATGTTTTGTTTTTTTAAGAGACAGGGCCTAGCACTGTCACCCAGGCTGGAGTGCAGTGGCACAATCACAGCTCACTCTAATCTTGAACTTCTGGACTCAAACAATCCTCTTGCCTCAGCCTCCCTAGTAAAACAGCCTCCCAGTTAAAGCAGCTAGGACTACAGACATGTTCCACCACACCCAGCTACTTCTTAAATTTTTTTGGAGAGATAGGAGTCTCACTATATTGCCCGGGCTGGTCTCAAACTCCTGGGCTCAAGCAATCCTCCCTCCCTGGTTTCCCAAAGTTTTGAGATTATAGGCATGAACCACCATGCCCAGCCACCTAATCTTTTCTCCCTGCTTCACAGTGACAGTGATCAGACACTGTCCCACAATGGAGACTGTCTCTCTTTTAATGGTAATAATGGCAGCAAGCATGCAGGCACACCATATGCCAGCTTCTGTTTAAGCACTATGCACACATTAAATGTCTACTCAACTGCTTATAGAAGCCAAAACACTCATTCCCTTGAACATTTTTTTTTTTTTTTTGAGATGGAGCCTCGCTCTGTTGCCCAGGCTGGGTCGAGTACAGTGGCATGTTCTTGGCTCATTGCCCAGGCCGGAGTACAGTGGCATGTTCTTGGCTCACTGCAACCTCTGCTTCCCAGGTTCAAGTGAGTCTCCTGCCTCAGCCTCCTGAGTAGCTGGGATTACAGGCACCTGCCACCACACCCGGCTAATTTTGTATTTTTAGTAGAGACGGGGTTTCACCATGTTGGCCAGGCTGGTCTTGAACCTCTGACATCAAGTGATCCACCCACCTCGGTCTCCCAAAGTGCTGGGATTACAGGCGTGAGCCACCGCACCTGGCACCCCTTGAACATTTTACCCAACTATGAAACATGGAATCAAATTCTTGCAAAATGAAATATGACAAATTGATCTTTATATCCTTGTCCTGAAAGCAGCCAGTATCCCTTCCTTCAATTTCTAAGAATATGGTCCTCTTACTTAGGAGTGAGAAAAATACCTACAGCTGTTACATCCAACAAAAAAGGTATATTGGTTTACACGTCTACCTGCGAGACATTCCTGCAGTCCCGGAACAAGAACTCCAGGCCATGAGGATGGGTAGGTTCTACTGACTGACTGACATCGATCAACCAGACCTATTTCAATACAGAACACAGACTGATGTATTTACATTTGAAATTTTACTTAAAGTAATTAAATCTGAATGTCAACAAAAGGTTCTCCTCACCTTTCCAGCATGCCACAGCATGTTATACTCACTGAGGTCAGCATGGACAAGCCTACATTCATGATATAACTGCCGCATCAACTGTGAAGAGGGAAGGCACACATTAGGAAATGAATAAATTAAGTGGGATTATATAGTATATTATTGATGATGACACCCGCCCCAAGTCTTTTTTTTTTTTTTTTGAGATGGAGTCTCGCTCTGTTGCCCAGGTTGGAATGCAGTGGTGCGATCTCAGCTCACTCTGGTCCTGGGTTCACGCCATTCTCCTGCCTCAGCCTCCTGAGTAGCTGGGACTATAGGCACCCGCCACCACGCCCGGCTAATTTATTGTATTTTCTTAGTAGAGACGGGGTTTCACTGTGTTAGCCAGGATGGTCTCAATCTCCTGACCTCGTGGTCCGCTCGCCTCGGACTCCCAAAGTGCTGGGATTACGGGCGTGAGCCACGACGCCCGGCCCCCCTAAAGTCTTATAGTAGAAATCAACATTAATGTATTTGTTTGCCAGCCTTAATAGAATTGAATAGGAAAGTTTCATCACTATTTAATCTCTTCCCTAGGCACCCCACTCCCAAAGACGCCAGAAAAACATACTTGATTTTCCTTTCAATGTTTTCCTTTGGAAGCAGAGAAAGGTGGATCACCTTTCTAGCTTTATCTTTAAAAATTAATTTGGACTAACATTTCCATATTTAGATCAATGGCTGCACTACATGACAGCTTCATGCAGAGATTGCATCAAGTAGCACATTAAGTTTCTTCAGTGTTCAATTAAAACTACAGAGGGATAATGGCAGTATTAGGAGCATTTTCTCAACCTAGAAAGGCCCTCAGATTGAATTCAGTTGCTATTTCAAAGCACGTAGTTTCCTTGAGATTCCCGACATGTGCCTTCCAACTTAACATCTGCACTCCCTACTATTTTCAGTTTTCATCATCACTCTCTTATGATGAGACCAAACCTGCTTCCTTTCCTTCACTGTTAAAGTTGTAACGTTCAATGGCTGGGTGTGGTGGCTCACACCAGTAATCCCAGCACTTTGGGATGCTGAGGCAAGAGGATCATTTGAGCCCAGGAGTTCAAGACCAGCCTGGGCAACACAGTGAGACCCCATCTCTTATTTGGGAAAAAAAAAAAAAAGCCCCAAAAAACTATAACATTCAATAAAGCACACAAACTAATGAGGCACTTTATCTGCTAAATGTAGTAACAGCAAATTTTATTTAATGAAGTTTTGTGAAAAACAGCTTCATGTAATATGTCACTAATCCTGGCAATGAAGACTTCCCTGGTTAAGTCTGTAAGTTTTCTAAAACTATTTAAGACACACACATATTGATAGAAAAACAATTCTTCCGTGTTAACATTCTTTCACAAACTTCAACTTGTCTTTATTATAGCACCTTCAAATAGCACTGTGTAAGGAACTTGGGTTTTTTTGTTTGTTTGTTTTTTAAGAGATAGGGTCTTGCTCTATCTCTTGCCCAGGCTGGAGTGCAGTGGCACAATCATAGCTCACTGCTGCCTTAAGTTCCTGGGCACAAGTGATCCTCCCACCTTAGACTCCCGAGTAGCTAGACTACAGGTGTGTGCCACCGTGCCCAGCTAATTTTTAATTTTTTTTTTTTTTTTTAAGACAGAGTCTTGCTCTGTCACCCAGGCTGGAGTGCAGTGGCGCAATCTCGGTTCACTGCAACCTCCACCTCCCTGGTTCAAGCAATTCCCCTGCCTCAGCCTCCTGAGTAGCTGGGATTACAGGCACATGCCCAGCTAATTTTTTTGTATTTTTAGTAGAGACAGGGTTTCACCATGTTGCCCAGGCTAGTCTCAAACTCCTGGGCTCAAGTGATCCTCCTGCCTCAGCCTCCCAAAGTTCTAGATTACAAGTGTCAGCCACCATGCCTTGCTTCTTTAAGGACATTTTTTTAAAGTCTAGAGGAAATATGTTTTAAAGGCAGTGTGTGAATGTTTTTAAAAGCACAACTTACATGAAGAGTTTGATAGTAGGCTTCTTTCATTTCTTCACTATTGAGCTTTACTTCTTTTAATTTAGGGGCTGGAACTTGATCATGGCCAATAAAAGACATAACTAAAATGTGTTTCTTCAGTAGTACAACTGTTGGACAAGGAATTCCAGCTGTCTGCATTCTATACAGAAAGAAATGATTCAGAATATACAGATCAGAAGGAGAAAAAAATGTCATTTATTCAATAAATATTAATAAGGACCTACAATGAGCTGGCACTATGTTCTACCCTGGTGACGTGGGAATACAAAGACAATAAAACACCGCCTCTACTCGTAGGGAGCTCAGGGACTGATGGAAATGACAGACAAGTAAAGAGACAATTACAATGCAGCGTGACGTACACACTGGCAGAGGTATGGGTAGGAGCTATACAGGAGCACACAGCACCAAGGATGGCTTATTAGAAGAAGAGGTAGGGAACAGGAATTAGCCAGATGAAGACAGTGCAAGGGAATGCAGGGAGGTGTTCAAGAGCATAGTCCGTTTGGGGAATGTATATCAATCAACATAGATCTGTGAGTAGGAGGAACGGCAATGTGGGCTGAGGCTGCAGAGACAGGCAAGCTCCACTATGGAACACTGTTTTTTAAGAAAGGCAGGAATTTCAGGAGTACAGAAAAGAGACTGGAGGACAGCAAGACCTTCTAGAAAATTATTCTACCTGGAATTAATTAATTGAAAACAATTTTTTTTTTTTTGAGACAAGGTCTCGGGAATCTAATGTTTCCGGGTTGGTTTTGAACTCCTAGGTTCAAGCAATCCTCCCATCTCAGCCTCCCAAGTAGCTGGAAGTACACGTGCACACCATGCCCAGCTTATTTTGGTGGGGAACTCTCAGTAGAAGAATTTTGTAACTGAGATATATGAATAATTACTTTTGAAAGCAAATATCTTTAGAAAATAACAAACTAAAATTAAGCTTTTAATAGATTAAGGTAATGGAAAGGTTTTTAATGAGAAGGATTATTACTGAATTTCTTGGTTGATAAAACAAATTCCTTGATAGAAAATAAATTGCTTAGAAAATTCAGATACAAGTATAAAAATTTAAACAAAATGTAATTTGATTGGTAAGAACTTACTCCCACAAAATTAACAAATTAAATGTAACAAACATTTTCTGAAACAAAAAAGAAACCATTTTTTTATGCTAAGCCTAATTGGATGCTGGAAGTTTTACTTCTTGATAAAAGCAATTTAAAAATGGCATTTAGATATATGATAAAGTGTCTAAGGCAGAAAAAGACCAGATTTCCCTCAAGTTTCATTGAGGAAAGAAAAAAGAAAATGGCTTTTTCATCCTAAAAGTATGAATTGAGGTTGTACACCTGGCCTTTCATTATTTCTATAAATGAATTTAAAAGAAAGCATGGATTTTTTTATCCTAACGCAAAAAGATATTTACCCAAGATTACATCTAGCACAATATTTTCTTTACCTTGCAAGATTGTGCATTTCTTTTTCTGCCCACATGCGGATGATCTTACGTGGATTTAGTTTACTGAAGCGATCTTTAAACCTGAAATCATCTTTAATATATTTGTCACGATTCTTAAACTCATTAAGGGTTGTTTTAAATACCTTGATGGCACATTCTGTAGGTATAACTTTACTATCTTCCTTTTCATCCTCCATGCTAAGTGGAAGAAAAAAAATCAAGTCAGTACAAGTTGCCGGCTCACAAGTACAACAATTTCAAAACAAAGATTCTATAACACTAAATTAGATCTGCCCTCTCTCAGCGTCAAGTCTTGTTTTTTAAGCCTTTAGGTTTTGGATCTTAATAAAGCCTTAGGTTTTGGTTTGATTTTTTAAATAAAATATACTTTCAAATAAATTGTCAACCAGTTTTCAACCATCTATCACATAATGTTCTTCACTTAATGACTATGGAATCAAGCTTGAAATACAATGAAGACATATGCACTTGAAAATAGGCTACAGTCTTCCCAATATGGTTCAGGAGCAAAATTCAATAAAAGCAACAAATAAAACAGCTTTTTAAAAAATCACTCTTTTACTCCTAGCAGACATAAAGGTGAATGAAATGGTTCCTGCCCCACAAGTCTGCGAGAAGTGGCAGCAGAGAGTAAAAGCAGCACATGAATAGGAAAGGCGTCTTTTCGTTGGAAAGATCAGGCAAGACTTCATGGCACAAGTGCCATCTGAAACAGAAACAGGACAATGGGTAGGATCTGAACAGCATGAACAAAAGCAGAGGCAGGAAACCACAGGACATATCTGAGGAACAACAAACACTAGAGTTAAGACTTGGCTGGAGAGATAATGAAAATAAATTGGAGCTAAAGGACAGGACAGAGGCACATCTGTGAAGAGCCTGGACAAATTCCTAGAGGTGATGGGGAAATGCGAGGGTTTCTGTGTATGGCACTCTCAAATGCGTCCTTCATGATGATCTAGTGGACAATACTATCAGCATGAGAGGGCACAGGGACAGGCTAGAGGTGTGAGGCAACTCAGGATGCTACTGCAATAGTCCCCCAATAGTGAGCTTCAGTCATGATGGTGGCAGTGGGAGTGAAAAGGTGGATGGAAGGAGAAACAATATTAATATTTACCTTTAAATATCTGATAGGATGTTAATCTGGGACAGAAAGGAACTGTATTTCCAAAGGACAGAATCTGAATCAAACCTCCTTCTGTACCATATTCTCCCGGCTGACTCCTCTTCCATTTAGTCTCAAAAGGTTAAAGTCCTTCACCTGGTTCTAAGAAACCTCCCTTCTCTTCCCGGGCAATTTCACTTAGCCCCATGGCTCTAAATATCATCTCTATATAGATAACTCCTACATTTCTTTTTTTTTTTTTTTTTTTGAGACAGAGTCTCACTCTGTCACCCAGGCTGGAGTACAGTGGTACGATCCTGGCTCACTGCAACCTCCGTCTCCCAGGTTCAAGCTATTCTCCTGCCTCAGCCTCCTGAGTAGCTGGGATTACAGGCACGCGCCACCACGCCCGGCTAATTTTTGTATTTTTAGTAGAGATGGGGTTTCGCCATGTTGGCCAGGCTGGTCTCAAACTCCAGATGATCCACCCAACTCAGCCTCTGAAAGTGCTGGGATTACAGGCGTGAGCCATCGTGCCTGGCCAATAACTCCCACATTTCTATCCCAGTCCTGATTTTCCCTAGAACTTCAGGCCCATTTATCCAACTCCTACATGACATCACTTAGAAGTCTAACAGGCATCTCAAATTTAACATGCCCAAAACAAAACTCATGCTGAGTCCTCACCGTACCCTTTCCCAGGCTCTCACCTCATCAAATGGCACCACCATCAGCTGCTCTAGCCCAGAATCTGTCCTCCCACACCCACATCCAATCCAACAGCATGTGCTGTTCACTCTACCTCCAAAACACACGCCAACACTCTCCTACTCTTCACTTCCACTACTGCCCTCCTTAGTCCAACCCTTCACCATTTCTCACTTCAACTACTACAGTGTTTTTAACCGACCTTACTGCTTCTTCTCTTCTCCTCCTATAATTCATTTTCCACACAGCAATCTTTTGAAAATAAGAATCAACTCATAGCTTTGGTTCCCAGAGCAGTTAAAGAGCAGATTCCTTACCCTGGCCTACAAAATCCTACCTGGTCCAGCCCCTGCTTACTCCTCTAGCCCCCTCTCCCATTCACATCCTATGCTCCAGGGAGACTGGGTTTCTTATGCTCCCTCAAAGATACTAACTTTGTACCTGTCCTAAGGCATTAGCACTAGCTATTCTCTAGTCCAGAATGCGCATCCACCTGATCTTTGATGTATCCTAGATGTGTCACTCACATGTCACTTCACTGGAGAAGCGTTCCCTGTCCTACTAATAAAGCTAGTCAGCCTGTCACTACGACATCATCCTATTTTAACTATCCACATAGCACATATCTGATATTTTTTGTTTATTATTGTCATGGAGAGGGGTTGAGGACGGGGGAAGCACATTCCATTATACCAGGGACCTTCCTTGTACCATTCATTGCCGTATCCCTAGTACCTGGAAGAGTACATGACAGTTGCTCAACTATTTGGTAAACAGATGACACAATTTTCAGGGAGACAGATTAGAGACTCTATTCAGAGAAGAAATCTCTAATAACTTAAAAGACATTATGACAGAATACGCTAGATTTTGAGATAAGAAGCTCCTTTCATTGGACTAGTTTAACCACACAGTAGGTAAGGCCCTAGCAAAAATGCCATACAAGAGATCCCTTACTTGGAAGGTCTCTAGGATCGAGTCCAATTTATAAGATTTGCCTTGTCATTGTCCTACTACAAAAAGATCCTGTTTCTTAGCAAATGACACATCCGTCTACCTAGCTTTTAAGGTCCTCCTTACCAATTTCCAATTTGCTTACACCACTTTACTTCCTACTACGTCTAAGCACATACCTTCCTAATCCTCTCAGTACCTAAACTTCAACCCTCCCACCCTTACCCTTTTTCTTAAAGAATTAAACATCACTGAAGTGCCCTCTGATTACCATTCCCCATCTTAACTCACCAGAGGCAACAACTATCATAAATGCTGTATTTCTAGTCTCTTTTAAAAGATAATATATAAGTATCCACAAGCATCTATAAACATCTCTGTAATTTTCTGTATGATTTAAAAATTTTAAATAGATGATATACTGTATATATATTCTGCAACTACCCTTTATACTCAACATTGGAATTTTTTGTTGTTGTTGTTTTTTGTTTTTGAGACGAAGTCTCGCTCTGTCACCCAGGCTGGAGTGCAGTGGCGTGATCTCGGCTCACTGCAAGCTCCGCTCCCAGGTTCACACCATTCTCCTGCCTCAGCCTCCCGAGTAGCTGGGAGTACAGACACCCGCCACCATGCCCAGCTAACTTTTTTGTATTTTTTAGTAGAGACGGAGTTTCACTGTGTTAGCCAGGATGGTCTCGATCTCCTGACCTCATGATCCGCCTGCCTCAGCCTCCCAATGGATTTTTTTTTGTTAACCTATTTTAAAAATCCAGATTGAGATCCAACTTCATTATGATATCTTCCCTGAATGTGCCTGAAGATGATCTTGTTCTATTCGCTATTCCTATCCCATATAAGGTCTCATTTGCATAACTGGGTACTCTATTATGTAATTATCTTTCATTGACCATAATGGTTCTTACTGTAATGTTCTCTTTTTAGCTAAAGCTTAAGCTCTTTGAGAGTAAAAAATATGTCTTATATTTTATTCCCTGAGTAATCTAGGACAAATTACTGCTTGAATAATTGTTGATTGCCTGACCAACCTGAGAGTGACAGAAACCAGAGCTTTGACCCAGGCACAGTGGCTCACGCCTGTAATCCTAACACTTTGGGAGGCTGAGGTAGGTGGATCACAAGGTCAGGTATTTGACACCAGCCTGGCCAACACAGTGAAACCCCATCTCCACTTAAAAATACAAAAATTAGCCTGGCATGGTGGTGTGCACCTGTAATCCCAGCTACCGGGGAGGCTGAAGCAGGAGAATCACTTGAACCCGGGAGGTAGAGGTTGCTGTGAGCCAAGATTGTGCCACTGCGCTCCAGCCTGGGTGACAGAGCAAGACTCCATTTCAAAAAAAAAAAAAGAAGGACGGATGGACGGACGGACGGACGGACGGACGGAAGGAAGGAAGGAAGGAAGGAAGCAGAGCTTTGGGAAAAGCAGAATTCTAAGATGACTCCAAAAACTCGCAGCCCCCTTGGTGTGCACACCCCGTATAATATCTCCTTCCCTTCAGCATGTGTGGGATAACCACTCCCTGGTTAGGTCATGTGGCAAAGGTGATGGTCTAGTCATTCCCATGATAACATCCTACTGAGTCTCAGTCTTAGCAGACTGGAGAGATTTTCCTGCTGGCTTTGAAGCTGTGAGCTAGTGTGTGAAGGGGCCTGTGAGATGGCCCCATGGCTGCAGGGGCCTCGAGGCGTTGAGAGCAGCCCACTGCTGACAACCAACAAGAAAGTGGGACCTCAGTCCTACAGCTGCAAGGAACTGAAAGGTGGCCAAGGGAAGAGGCCACCAAGCTCCAGAAAGGAACACAGCCTGGCCAACACTAGACTGCAGGCTTGTGAAAGCCTGAACACAGAACCTAGTTAAGCCGTGCCTGGATTCTGTCAACACAAACTACGAGACAATAAATGGATGCTGTTTTAGTCTGCTAAGTCTGTGGCAATTTGTTATGTACCACAGAAAACTAACAAACTTTTAAAAGCATTTACTTTTAGCTGTAGAAAACTGAATGTTCTCTAGTTTTGCTAACTTAGAAATGTTAAAGTACAGACTATGATACCAATTCCACCAGAAAGACTTATCACTTATTTTATTAGAGTATATTAAGTATAACAGGCCAGGCACAGGGGCTCATGCCTGTAATCTTGGCACTTCGGGAGGCCAAGACAGGTGGATCACCTGATGTCAGGAGTTTGAGACCAGCCTGGCCAACATGGTGAAACCCCGTCTCTACTAAAAACACAAAAATTAGCAGGATGTGGTGGCGGGCACCTGTAATCCCAGCTACTCAGGAGGCTGAGGCAGGAGAATTGCTTGAACCTAGGAGGTGGAGGTTGCAGTGAACCGAGATCGTGCCATTGTACTCCACTCTGGGCAACAAGAGCAAAACTCCATCTCAAAAAAAAAAAAAGAGTATATTAAGTATAACAGAAAACGGACAAAGGATAAACAAGAGAGAAGACAAGAAAAAGAAATACAAATGGCCAATAAAGCACTTGAAAAAAATGTACAACTTAATCATAATTAAATAAATGCACACCAAAATACCAAGATACTACTTTTCATCTTTCACACTGACAAAAAGCATTAGATTTGACAGTACTAAACATTGATAAAGATGAGGAAGGCCGGAAGCAGTGGCTCACGCCTATAATCCCAGCATTTTGGGAGGCCGAGACGGGTGGATCACCTGAGGTCAGGAGTTCGAGGCCAGCCTGGCCAACATGGCGAAACTCTGTCTCTACTGAAAATACAAAAATTAGCCGGGCGTGGCGGCATGCGCCCGTAATCCCAGCTACTCTGGAGTCTGGGGCAGGAGAATCACTTGAACCCAGGAGGCAGAGATTGCAGTGAGCCGAGATCACGCCACTGCACTCCAGCCTGGGCAACAACAGTAAAACTCCATCTCAAAAAAAGAAAATAATATACGCACTGAAAAAAACTGGAGGAGTCTACCCAAAATTATAAATGATTATCTCTGGGTGGTGGTATTAGGATGACTGTGTTTTTTATACATTCCTATACTGCCTGGACTTTCTACAGTAACACTTTAAAAATTACGCTGCTTGCCATGCAGCATTATCTTTGATTCTGTGTAAATCCATTAATCTTGGGGAGAAGAGACTAAGTTTTCACATGATGGTATCATATTTTGCTCATTTACCTCCCTCCATATGCATGAAAGACAACGGATTCCTTTCCTGTACTAATACAGCCAGTGATTGTCTCCAACATTCCAGAGTTGACCATTTTATACATAAGTAAACGTGTCTTAGGATCAACTGCTTTTTCCTGCAAGAGATAAAGCACTGTAAGTGAAAATGACTGCTAATCACAAAATATTTTCTGAGCCACTTCTAATAACTTTTTCTTTTCCTTTGAGACGGAGTCTTGCTTTTGTCACCCAGGCTAGAGTGCAATGGCACCATCTCTGATCACTGCAACCTCCGCCTCCCGCTTTCAAGTGAGTCTTCTGCCTCAGCCTCCCGAGTAACTGGGATTACAGGCACCCGCCACCACACGTGGCTAATTTTTGCATTTTTACTAGAGATGGGGTTTCACCATGTTGGCCAGGCTGGTCTCAAATGCCTGACCTCATGATCTGCCCGCCTTGGCCTCCCAAAGTGCTGGGATTATAGGCTTGAGCCACCACACCTGGCCTAATATCTTTTTTTTTAGAGAGAGAGAGAGAGAGAGAGAGACAGGGTCTCACTCTGTTGTCCAGGATGGAATGCAGTGACATGATTATGGCTCACTACAGCCGCAAATTCTTGGGCTCAAGTGATCCTCCCACCTCAGCCTCCTGAGCAACTGCGACTAAAGGTGCACACCAACATGTCCGGCTAATTTTTAAAAACTTTTTGCTGAGACATGGTCTCCCAGGGTCTCCCTATGTTGCCCAGGTTGGTCTCGAACTCCTGGGCTCAAGCGATCCTTCCACCTTGACCTCCCAAGGTGCTGGGAGCCACCCCACCTGGCTTATTTACATCTCTCTCTCTCTCTTTTTTTTTTTTTTTAAGGCAGGGTCTCAATCTGTCACCCAGGCTGCAGTACAGTGGCGCAATCATGGTTCACTGCAGCCTCAACTTCTTGGGCTCAACCAATCCTCCCACCTCAGCCCCCCGGGGTAGATGGGACCACAGGCATGTACCACGATGTCCAGCTAATTATTTTTGCAGAGCTGGGGGTCATTATGTTGCCCGGGCTGTTCTTGCACTCCTAGGCTCAAGTAATCCTCCTGTCCCAAAGTACTGGGATTACAGGGGGGCACCACAGTGGCTAGATCTATTTACATCTTTGATTTGAAAAGCCAATCTCATGAAAAAATATCAAACATGAAGGTTTTTTTATTCACCCAAAGTTTTCTAATATGAATCTTTCCAGTAAAAAAGAAAAAAAACTCTATAAATCCTTACTGCTGTAGAATGCTCCTTCTTCTCATGCAGGCGGGCACTTCGACGTTCTTCTGAGTAGGCATGTTGTTTTAAAGCATTGAAAACATGGTTTGATAGTTTTAAATCCATTCCAATTCCATCTCCCACCTGAAACTCAGGTGCAAACTGCCAAAAAGAAGAATTAGCATCTAAATATTTTAAAATAGGGACAGTTAAAAAAAAAAACAAAACAACAACAACCAAACAAGAAGATTAATCTTTAACGTCTTACTCAATAGATGATCACACTAGAAAACCAGAACTCATAGCTACTACAGAGAAAAAAATTAAATAACTCACAGAAAGAGGAGCAATACTATTTAAGAAATTACAGCCCAAAGGAAGGCATTTATTCCAGGCATAGAAAACATCTCATCACATCCAAAACTAAGGTCTTTCAGCATGTGTGTTGTACTTTGCTTTTAGCCAAAGGACACAATATTGAACTGTGAAGGCTACACCAAATCTTACCAAAGAAATACAATTTTGTAATTATTTGTGGAGAGTGGGTTGTTATAGCAGACTATGATCACACCATGACAATTATGCTCTAGAACTGTGCAATTCAGTTAGGTAACCACTAGCCACACTTGGATATTTAAGTTAATTAAAATTAAATTAAAAATTCAGTTCCTCTATTATGGCACCCAAATTTCAAGTGCTCAACAGCAAATGTGGCTACCATATTGAACAGCACACATATAGAACATTTCCATTACCACAGAAAGTTCTATTGGACAGAACTCTTCTAGAATCAGATCTGGAATATTTCTAGAAATGATATAATTGAATATGTTTACTTAACAAGCATTTGTGCTTTAAAATCTAAATGTTTAATGTATTATATTAACTATAATATTTATGAAGGATTTAGAATGCTTTTTTTTTTTTTTTTGAGATGGAGTTTCACTCTTGTTGCCCAGGCTGGAATGAAGTGGCACAATCTCGGCTCACTGCAACCTCTGCCTCCCAGGTTCAAGCGATTCTCCTGCCTCAGCCTCCCGAGTAACTAGGATTACAGGTATGTGCCACCACACCCGGCTAATTTTCTATTTTTAGTAGAGATGGAGTTTTTCCATGTTGGTCAGGCTGGTCTCGAACTCCCGACCTGCCCACCTCGGCATCCCAAAGTGCTGGGCTTACAGGCGTGAGCCTCCATGCCCGGCCTAGAATGCTATTTTTTAAAATTACACTTTACTTCTGATTTTACACAGGTAGTTCAGGCACAAGATAATAAATTCAAAATGCACAAAAGAGTATACGGTGAAAAGTATTTCTCCCTCCCATTCGTATTCCCCAATCACCACCATTATCTGTTTTTTGGGTAGGGATGCTATTTTATACAAACATGATGAAGAATAAATGTTATTTTCATAATAACTATTTATTAATTTTAGAATCAATGTGAGTCAAAATAGTTTTTCAATACTGTTATGGAATTTTATTCTGAGGTACTTTATATTTTCATTAATGTGTCAGTTTTCATGATATTGCTATAGTGTTATCTAAAAACATCTTTAGAAAGAAAGATATTTTTAGAAATCTAAGATATTACATTTTAAAAGGTATTCAAGCAAAACTCTAAGTTCAGAGATAGATACTTTCTGTAACTTACATTTTCCATTCTTGCTGTGTTCTTTCTCCCACATACTACTTCATCATGTTTGGTGGTGATATCTTTTCCTTTTCCAATAAAGCCCTTTTTAGGAGTGGGAACCGGTTTTGCTAAAGGCAATTGAAACAAGCCAGGTACATAAAAATAGCAAAGACTACATTGCTGCATTCAACGTTGTCTGAAAAGACATTTGAATCTAAGAGTAAATTGCCAAATGAGATACAAAGAAAAATATAAAAGTAGGAGTTAATTGAAAAGATTAGTCTTCCTATACCTCTATTCTGCTGCCCCAGAAAGTAAAAGCTTTGGTACCTGGTCTGTAGGGATCATCACGAGTATCCTGCCAGTCAACTTCATCTTCAGAGCTATCGCTGTCTTCATAAGGATGCACTTTTCGATAATTTTCAAAGGAAATGGAAACTTAAAAAGCAAAAATAGTTGAAGATTTACTTAGGAGCACATTATGAGTGTTTTCTACCACTCAATGGAGTTGTCACAATAAGGTTATAGTACCTTTGCTATCTCCATTGAATTTTTTTTCTTCACGCCTAAGCTGTGCATCATATTCTCTGTCATATTCCATCTGTAGCATCTGAGCCAGCATAAGGTCACTGGACGTATCAATGTTTTCTCCAGTAATAAATGGTCCTTCAGCAACACTATTCAAAATAAGGCAATATAAACTAATATAATGTGCTTAAGTAAACAGAGGTTGCCAATTATCAGAGTAAGAGATGCCTTTTCCATGTTAAAATTCAAGGAACTCTATCAAATCATTCACCTTCTCCTGCACAGCTAGCCTTAAGACCAATGGCATGCACCTGTGGGAGTACCAACTAGGGTTAAGAGAGCTAGGAGAGAAAGCTAAAGATTCTATAATAAAATCCAAACTGAGACCTAGAATTCATTTGTTCTGAATGAAAGTCTGAGGCCGGGCGCAGTGGCTCATGCCTGTAATCCCAGCAGTTTGGGAGGCTGAGGCTGGTGGATCACCTGAGGTTGGGAGTTCGAGACCAGCCTGACCAACATGGAGAAACTCCGTCTCTACTAAAAATACAAAATTAGCCAGGCATGGTGGCACATGCCTGTAATCCCAGTTACTCGAGAGGCAGGAGAATCACTTGAACCCGGGAGACGGAGGTTGTGGTGAGCCGAGATTGTGCCATTGCACTCCAGCCTGGGCAACAAGAGCGAAACTCCACCTCCAAAAAAAAAAAGTCTGGATGTTTCATTCATCCATAATGAAAGAACAGGTAAATATTCATGAAAAGATAAACTCAAAACACTTGATCAAAACTGTACCTTATCTAGTTCAACTGCGGCATTAACATGATGTAACTAAAACTCACAGAAACAGTGGTTTGTCCAAGATAATAATGAAAACCAATGCAAAATCAGGACCAAAATTCAAATATCAGTGGACTCTCAACATGGTGCTTTCTTCTGCCCTGCTTTTTCCAAACCACTTGTCATGACAATTACTCATCAAATCCTAAAACTCTGCTATAAGTTGCTAGATAAAGTACTTTATGAATTTTACTTACGCAACTTCAGGAAAAACGGCAGCTTCTTCTTCTAACTGCAATTCTTTGGCCAGCTGTTCACTCATTACATCAGCCAACGAACAAGATATTGTATTCTGAGGGATAGCCCATGGACACTACCAAAAAAGAAAAAAGAATAGCTCAACTCATCATAATGAAATAAAGCACTTCTCATTTTACAAATAATGTTATATTTTGAGAATTAAACTATGTAGTTAAAAACCAGAAATGAATAACTAGCTATTTGCAGATATTATCTCCAAAGTAAAAATATCTCCCAGGTCAAATTTAGTCAAGGATATATCTAAACTAAAACAGCCAAAAGCACTTTTTCGCCTGCTAAGTAGGTATATCCTTAAAGCTGAGGGGAAGCCTCAGGCCCACTGGCATCCCCCCACTAGCTAATGAGTTCATGTAATTCCTCTTGTTCCAATCCTTGCTCACCAAGCTACTTTCTGCTTATAATCTGATTTCTCAAGTAGATTTTCCTATATGAATAGACTATACCAACTAGCACAATTTGAAGCCTAATGGAAAGTTATATCTCATTCTAATTTAAGCATCGAGTCATCTAAGTGTACAAATTATGTCAGCCCCTCTCAAAACATCTTAGGATATACTAAAACAGAAACAAGAACAGGCCAAGTGCGGTGGTTCACGCCTGTAATCCTAGCACTTTGGCAGGCCAAGGTGGGTGGACAACCTGAGGTCAGGAGTTCGAGACCAGCCTGGCCAACATGGTGAAACCCCATCTCTACCAAAAAGACAAACAATTAGTGGGGTGTGGTGGTGCGTGCCTGTAGTCCCAGCTATTCAGGAGGCTGAGGCAGGAGAATCGCTTGAACCCGGGAGGTTGAGTGCCACTGCACTCCAGCCTGGGCAACAGAATGAGACCCCATGCCACACACACACAAAAAGCAAGAACAAACAACAAAAATTTTATTTTTATTTTATTTCTTTTTTTTTTTTTTCTGAAGACAGTTTCCTCTGTTGCCCAGGCTGGAGTGCAGTGGCATGATCTCAGCTCACTGCGACCTCCACCTCCCCGGGTTCAAGCGATTCTCCCGCCTCAGCCTTCTGAGTAGCTAGGTTTATAGGCGTGAGCCACCATGCCCAGCTAACTTTTGTATTTTTAGTAGAGATAGGGTTTTGCCATGTTGTCCAGGCTGGTCTCGAACTCCTAACCTCAGGTGATCTGCCGGCCTCAGCCTCCCAAAGTGCTGGGACTATAGGTGTGAGTCACCAAGCCTAGCCCCAAAATTTTATTTCTGAACTTTAGAAGCGGACAAACAGGCTCTTAAAACAATACCAATACACACAGTAATATTCTCTCAGACCCAGTTGACCTTCCTCAGTGACATACTCCTGCCTCAGCCTTCTTGAAATCAAACTGCAGGTTTTATTTCAAATTCATAATTTTTGAGGGGGCAAGATGCTTTACTTAGCAGCAGCAAATGATTACATTTTATAGCCTACTGATTAAGACTTTTAATATTGAGTAAGATGCCTAAGCATTTCCTGAACTTGCCCAGCTCTTTCCGTCCCTCTTCTATAACTCTACTCCAAGGTATCCCATTCACTGGGTTACTTTCAGAGCATCCTAATGAATCTTTCTGCTCTCAGTCTTGGGAGTTTCCATTCTCCACACTGTAATACAGTAATTGTTCTAAAATGCAGATGTGATAGGTTCCATCTCCTTACTCAAAATCTCTTTTATTATTTCCCATTGCTTTTAGGATAAAGTCCAAACTCATTCCTTAACTACTACTGAGTGTCTAATTTAGAATATAGCATAAAATGGTATCTGTTTTAGCCACAAAATTATTTGATCAAGTTCAGCCAGTGTAGGCCCTCTAGTTGGTCTAAAGGCCTGCTGCATGACACTCAGAGACAACCAGGCAAGTAACCTTTGTTCAGGTTCCACAGTACTGACATTCAGGAATTTACTTAGCTCAGGCTATTTGGGTGGAGCACCTAAGGGTGACAAATGATAACTATATTTAAGCCTGAGTGAATGAGAATCAAGTTGTATCTAGTCTCACCCTGAGATTGAGGAAATACGCCTGGCACCTACCACGTACCTACCATACACTGTCACAGAACCGTTCCAGCCTTCTGTGAGGCCAGACTTGGGAGAGAAGGGGCTTCCTGAAGGTCTGCTGTGACTTTCATTCACTCTGTAATTGAGTGGAGAACCCTCTTGGTAAGGATTTTAAGGTCTAGAATCTTGAAGCTTTCTATCATCTGGAGAACATAGCTAATTTTTTGGCCTCATGATTCTGCTGAGTTCCTTCTGTATCCTCTAGGTAGAAGATACAATGCTGTTTAGCCTAGAAATGTTTCATCTGATCAGTTTCAAAGTCCAGGCTCCAAAAGGTAGATGACTGTCTAACTCAGAATTTTCAATAACATTTGGCAATGACTAAGTTGCATAACAGACAATATCTGAATATTCACTATATCTAAGTAATTTGGTTAAATACACATAACTTACATAGATTACTTAAATCACACAACGATTGAGTAGTTGCAATCCATCCCCATTTTACGGATTTTAAAACTGAGATACATAAAGGCTTTTCTTTTAACCCAAGATAACATCATAGATGGAAGTACCAAGCTCTGAACCAAGGCGATGCCAGGCTGCACTCTTAGCATTTTACTATACAGCTTCCCTATCCCCTCACCCTGGAATGTGTGAAGCAAACTGCCCTACTGTCTGCAATACAAAATCCAAATTCCCCACCCTAGGCAACACGGCAAGATATCATCTCTACAAAAAAATTTAAAAACTGCCGGGCACAGTGGCAAATGCCTGCAGTCCCAGCTACTCAGGAGGCTGAAGTAGGAGGAGGATCATTTGAGTCCTATGATTGTGCCACTGCACTCCAGCCTGGGTGACAGAGTAAGACCCTGTCTCTAAATAAATAAAATCCAAATTCTTCAGCAAGGGATGCCCAACTTGCCCTGATTTATCTGTCCAATCTCAACCCTCTTCTATCCTACACTCTAGTGACACTAATTACATGCCAAAGATGGCATACTTAGGCCATGTGCAGTGGCTCACGCCTTAATCCCAGCACTTTGAGAGGCTATGGCAGGCGAATCACCTGAGGTCAGGAGTTCGAGACAAGTCTGGTCAACATGGAGAAACCCCGTCTCTACTAAAAATATAAAAATTAGTATTTTTTATCCTAATTTACACTACAGGCATGGTGGCGGGTGCCCGTAGTTCCAGTTACTCAGCAGGCTGAGGCAGGAAAATCACTTGAACCCAGGAGGCAGAGGTTGCAGCAAGCTGAGATCCCGCCACTTCACTCCAGCCTGGGCGACAGAGCGAGCATGTCTCAAAAACAAACAAAAAAGATGGCATACTTTCCCCACTGCATGCCTTCATACATTCCTTTCTCTACCATTGGTTCTTCTTCCTTCTTTATTTACACCAATTAAATGTCGCCTCCTCTATAAGGCTGTCTCAGTGTTACCAAAGTTGGACCCTTTCCTTTGTGTTCCCACAGCAGTATGCAAACACTGTTAATGCAGAACTCATCACTGTATTAGAGTTCATGCATTAGCCACAATGGAGTATGAGCGCCTTGAACGGTAGAGACTTCTTATCCACCCTCAGAGCCCAGCAGAGAGCTTTGGATATAAAGAGGCATTCCAGTATTTCCTGAGCAGTATGTGCCAAAAGAAAACACTGGAGTGATTGGCTGTAGAGGTCTGATGTCTTTCTACATCCCTACTGATCTAATGTCCTTTCCCCCATCTTGGAAAGTCTGCCCTTTTGCCTGCCCACTTCAGAGGCTTCAAGTCTGTTGCCATCTGTTAATTAATTCTGCTAAGGTATTAAAGTATTAGCTGACAATCTGTCAGAAGAGACAAAAATGACAGGCAGGATTTTTGTTATTTTGAGGCAGAGATTGACCTACTCACAGATACACTGAATCAGAAAGGGAAACATGTAGAGACCTCAAACAGCACCAAAGCATCCTCGCTGTCCACTCCTACTGACCCTAGACTCTAGAGACTATACTACCCTGTACCAGCTCAAGTGGTCCACCTCACACTGAGGCAACTCCCTTGGGTGAGGTAAATAAGTAAAGATTTCAGATAGGCTGCCACTCCCATACTTTGAAATCAAACCCAAACTCTTCAAGCCAACAATTAAAAGCCCTCCATACACTTTTTCCAGGCTGTGAGAGGGACAGCTTCTGGGGTCGGGAGAAGACCCCCTGGGTTTTCCCTATAGGCACAACAAGTTTGCTATCCCAAGTGCTCAGAAAATTTACTGCAGGCTCCTCCTATGAACAGGTACCATAGGTGGTATGTAAGGGAATCCTGTCATCTGTGACTCTTCAGTAAGCCCCTCTTTGTAAAAAAGCTAACGAGATGGGGGAAACGCCCTCCATCATCTTGCTCTGTCCTAGCTATCCAAAGTCATTTCCTACTATTGCACTCATCAACACAAACTCCCTATAGTGTCACAATCTGATGGGACGCCTCATACAATCCTTTCCAGTCAGCAATTCTTCTTCAAAGGACATCCATCAAGCTTTTCACTAGCCTCTTGGTTCCTTCTTTCCTATTGCTAAATAACCCTAAGACCCACCCTGTTTTCCTCTCCTTTGCAAAACCACCACCACTGAACTCTGTTCCTTGGGGTTCTTCACTACTACCGCATGCTCCCCCACCTGGAGGGCTGCACATTAGTGGGGAATCATCTCTCTTTCCTTCCACTTCCTAAAGATATGACCTTCGCTGCTTGTATCATTGTTTTTTTAAAAGGTTTCCTGCAGACAATTATGGGTAAAGAATCAAGTAAAATTAAAAACGGCAGCTGGGTGCAGTGGTTCGCGCCTGTAATACTAACACTTTGAGAGGCTGAGGCAGGCAGATTGCTTGAGCTCAGGAGTTCGAGACTAGCCTGGGCAACATAGTGAAACCCCGTTTCTACTAAAATACAAAAAAAAAAAAAAATTAGCCAGGCATGGTGATGCACACTTGTAGTCTCAGTTACTCTGGAGACTGAGGCACGAGAATTGCCTGAGCCCACGGGCGGAGGTTGCAGTGAGCCAAGATTGCGCCACTGCACTCCAGCCTGGGCGGCAGAGTGAGACTCTGTCTCCAAAAAAAAAAATAAATAAAAGAAAACCAGCAAACATGAAAGAGGCACACAGTAACAAAAATTCAGTCCTCTACTGGAAGCAAGTCAAGAGAAATGTAACCTACAGGAAGGTCCCCTTTCTAATCATACAGCTAGAAGACATAATCTAAGTAGAATATTTAAGTAAGTAATTTTTCAACTCAAGACAAGTGTCTCTGAAAAAAATAATCTGGGACTACATAACAACACTAATCCATTTTTTAAAATTTTTTTGGTTTTAGAATAGTCTTACAGAAAAAAACTGCCAAGACAGTACAGAGTTCCCAAATACTATACTCAGTAGTTTATCCTATTTATCCTATTAACACCTTATTAGTATTCTACATTTGTCACAATTCGTGAACCAATATTGATACATTTTATTATTAACTAAAGTCCATACTCTACTCAGATTTCCTTAGTTTTTCTCTAACATTCTTTTTCTGTTCCAGGATCCCATTCAGAATACCACATTACATTTAGTTGCCACGTCTCCTTAAGCACCCCTTAGGCTGTCGAGTTTCTCAGACTTTCCTTGTTTTTGATAACTTTCACAGTTTTGAGGTGTACTGCTAATTTATTTATTTATTTTTTTTACAACTGTCTATCAACAGAGCTACACACTTGCTCACTTTTGCTTACAGTTTGCCAATCCTCCCTTCTTGGAATATCCCCTAAAATTCTTTGTCCACAATAGTAGTTAGGCATTTTGTAACTTGCACCCTGGTACTCTGAGAGAAGGATCCCCAAGACCCATTCAGAGGGTCTATGATGTCAAAATTTTCATAATAGTAATAATACATTATTTGTCTTTTTAACTCTCATTCCCCCAAGAGTGTGGGGTTTTCCAGAGTCTACATCAGATGTGATGACATCATCACTGATGGCTAATGGAATGTGTGCTTGGTATTCTGGTGTTTTCTAAAATTTTCTAAAGAGTAGATTTAAGATATAAATGCATTTTTAGAGATTAACCCAGTTTGTTCTCAGTATTTCTACTATGCTCTTATTACTCATCTTCACTTATATCTGCTACAATCTACTTAGCTGTGAGGATGGATTTTCTTCAAATACTTCAACCTCACAACAGGTTGAATGAAAAAAGAAGACAGAAGAATCCAGATGTCTTCTAATAAGTCAGATGTTAGAGATTTGCAAACATATAAAATACTGTTCACTAGTTTTTGTTTTCAGACATAGTTTTATTTTGGCCAGGTGTGGTGGTTCACACCTGTAATTCTAGCACTTTGGGAGGCCAAGGTGGGAAGATTGCTTGAGGCCACAAGTTCCAGACCAGCCTGAGCAACACAGTAAAATCTCAACTCTATTTTTTTGTTTGTTTTCTTTTTCTACTTTTCTCACATGTTCTAATCTATTTTTCTAAGTTTTCTTTAAATATAAAAATGTTATTTATGTTAACATATGACTTTTTTTTAAAGCCAACTAAATTTAGCAGTGGGAAGGTTCTATATCAACTTTAGTGACACTAATGTTAATAAGTTCTGATAACCCACTACCATCAGACTAGCATGACTTCTAAATGACTTAAAATTTTTCTATTTCTCAGTTTTAATTTCAGATATGATAAATATCAATTGATATAATCAATGTAAACAAAAGACATTTGGGGTCCTCAATTTTTAAGAGTATAAAGAAGCCCGGGCCAGGCATGGTGGCTCACACCTGTAATCCTAACATTTTCAGAGGCCAGGCGGAAGGGGGTGGGGTACTGCTTGAGCCCAGGAGTTCAAGACCAGCCTAGGCAACATGGTGAAATCTGATCTCTACAAAAAAACACAAAAATTGGCCGGGTGCAGTGGCTCACACCTGTAATCCCAGCACTTTTGGAGGCCAAGGCGGGAAGATCACAAGGTCAAGAGATTGAGACCATCCTGGCCAACATGGTGAAACCCCATCTCTACTAAAAATACAAAAATTAATTGGGCATGGTGGCACACACCTGTAGTCCCAGCTACTCGGGAGGCTGAGGCAGAAGAATCGCTTGAACCCAGGAGGTGGAGGTTGCAGTGAGCCAAGATTGCACCACTGCTCTCCAGTCTGGTGACAGAGCGAGACTCTGTCTCAAAAAAAAACAAAAAACAAAAATGAGCTAAGTGTGGTGGCACTGGCCTGTAGTCCCAGCTAATCAAGAGGCGGAGGTGGGAGGACTGTTTGAGCCTGCCAGGTCAAGGTGCAGTGTGAACTGTGATTATGCCACTGCACTCCAGCGTGGGTGACAGAGTGAGACCCTGTCTCAATTAAAAAAGAAAGAGGCCGAGGCAGGAGTATCACAAGGTCAGGAGATCGAGACCATCCTGGCTAACACAGTGAAACCCGTCTCTACTAAAAATACAAAAAATTAGCCAGGCGTGGTGGCAGGTGCCTGTAATCTCAGCTACTCGGGAAGCTGAGGCAGGAGAATAGCTTGAACTTGGGAGGCGGAGCTTGCAGTGAGTCAAGATCGCAACACTGCACTCCAGCCTGGGTGACAGAGTAAGACTCTGTCTCAAAAAAAAAGAAGAAAAGAAAAGAAAAGAAAAAGGAAGAGGCTGGGCACGGTGGCTCACGCCTGTAATCCCAGCAGTTTGGGAGGCCGAGGCTCGTGGATCACTTGAGGTCAGGAGTTTGAGATCAGTCTTGCCAATACGGTGAAATCCTGTCTCTACTAAAAATACAAAAATTAGCTGGGCGTGGTGGTGGGTGCCTGTAATTCCAGCTACTCAGGAATTGCTTGAACCCGGGAGGCACAGGTTGCAGTGAGCTGGGGGCAAACCACAGTACTCCAGCCTGGGCGATAGAGCACCTCTCCATCTCAAATGAAAGAGGCGAGGGGAGGGGGGAGGGGAGAAGAGCAGGGAGGTGGGAAGAGGAGGGGAGAGGAGAAGAAAGGAAGGAAAGAAATAAAAAAGTACTGACTAAAAAGTTTTGAGAATCCTTCCATTTTTCAAAACCCTCCTCAAATCTTCACCTCCTCCATGTAGGCTTCTGTCACTTTGTTTTTCCGAAAGGTTAGAGTAAAAAAGGATTAATGATAGTACTTTCAGCCTGTTTCTAATTGTTTTGCCTTTCAAAACACTGTCCTCCCAATAGACAGCATCTATAAATCCCAGAAGCATTTTTGTTGCACAATGAAAATGGAATTGTATAGTTCTGACAATGTACACTTAAATAAAAATATGACTGTTAAATATTTTATTACTGAATTAGTTTCGTAAGTGAAATTTGTTCTGAGATTAGGATGTATTCTGAATACGGTTTGTCTCATTTGACATTTTTACCAGCCTTTACCAATGCTTAACTGAAGGACTTTAACATACAAAGTATATATTTATAATACTAGTCTGTCTACTGATTTCATCCTTTTATGTCTACTAATCTTGACCTTGTAAACAAGGCTTTAACGAAAAATAAGCAAAATAACATGCAGAGGGTAACCACATTTGTCAGTGCAGTATCTCAGATTCTTCCAACAGTTGTATGAGAACTTTTATAAAATTAACTTTCGTTTATTTAATAGCTAATTATTGACCCTTTTCCTGTTAAGACCTAGCCTGAAGATCTAGTAAGTTTCACAGGTGACCTTTTAAATGGGAACAAATATTCTGTGTTAGCATGTAAAGAACAATTATGAAGCTAAAAAAGCTAGACTCCTTCACGACCTTAATTTGTGGAACAAAAAATCCCAATGGAAGCACTCGGCTCTCAAGCAAACCCTCCATAAAGTGGCAGAAAAGTATTTTCATCCATATAATCAAAGTATCATGAAAAGGACCCGCCTGGAAACCAGAAAGCAAATGTGAAGTAAAGGTCTTTAGTTTGCCATTCTATGAAAAAGTTTAAACGTCAAAGCTTAGGCAGATCATGAAATTCACAACCACTTTACAATCCGTGGGGTGCACATGAATATTAGCGTCGAGGGAGGAGGGTGCGCCTGGGTTTTATCTTTTACTACTTCAAAAACAAGAAATTTCCGAACTGGGATAACCACACTTGACAAATTAAGTAAACAGCTTCCTAAACCAACTTTCTGTCTGGCTAGCTGTGTATTCGGCTGACTCACTTGGCCCGTGAAAAACAAGATCGTGCTTGTTTCCCCTCCAGTATCAGCGTGTGTAAGCCAGTCCTGCTCAAATACATGCTACGGCGACACAGAGAGTACGCTGAAGAAATAGCACTCAAGGTGGCATTTGGGAAATCCAGCCGCCCTCCGCCCCTCTTTCCGCTCCCTCCATCCCCACCCCGACACCCCCGCGGCCAGTGCCCCCTTGCCAAGGTCGGCGGGGTCCCGCCCCAGAACTTCCCGAGTCCCCTACGAAGCCGCCCTTTCCGAGCCTTCCGAGAGAACCAGCCCGTGTGACCAAGGCAAGTACTCCAGCCTCGTCTGCCACTTACCTTGCTGGGTCCCCAGGCCGCAGCCGGCCCGGGCTCAGGCGATGCCACTCCTACCAGATCCATTCGGGGATGAAGGCAGAGACAAGAACAGAACAGAGAGGTGGCAAGATGGGAAGCAGGCTCCGCCGAGGAGATAGGCGGGGCAGGGACAACTGGTTGCTGATGCCGGAGCTGGAGGTGACAGATGGCGGCGACGGCGGCGGCCGCGTCCGGAACTGGATCTCTCCTCTTCCGCCCTCTTCGCTGGGACAGTCGCTTGCAATTGGCCACACGCCCCTAGCTCCTCCTTAAGGCTCCTTTCCCCGCCCCCGGGCAGGCTACTTCCGGCCGCTGGCCGCCGGGCTCGGGGAAGCAAGGATCAGCTGGCTGTCGCTTGGTGTCACGTTGCCTATGTCGGGCAGGGCATGGCAAGAACTGGGTGTGGCTTCCTTTGGCCCAGGCTCTGCCCTGTCCCCGCACTGCCATCTCCTTGGCACCCCGAGACTGCCGCTGGATCTAAACTAGATTAGACTGGTGGATTGTAAATAAACAAACTAGGCTCTCTCTGTTCATTCATTATTTCCTGGAGCAGTTCTAAACTGGGATGACTTGGGAGACAGCAAATGGCAGGTTTATAGACGGAAAAGGCCTGGAGAGGACGGTCGGCGTTTGTGGTGCTTGTTGTTGGGGGGTGGGGCGTAGAATGCGGAAAATGTGTAAAATGTGTTACGTAACAGTGAACAAAAATAAGACTGCATAATGAAAGTTTTGATTCTGTATTTTGTAGAGAGATTCTAATAAAATGACCAGATAAAAGATAACTAAGCATTGCATTTCACTTAGTATATCAATGCACTCTTCAAATCTTTCATGAACTTTTTAGTCCTCAAAATTACCTTGAGAGCTAAATTCTGTCATTATCTCTATTTTACTGATATTGAAACTGAGGCACAGAGAGGTAAAGTAATTTAGTTGAGGTCACACAGATAAGTGGCAAAGCTAATAAGGGGTGAACCCAGACAATCGGTTTGGGAACTGGACTAGTTGTACATTATATTTTGACTATACACAATACACTGTCTATATGTTGTATATTCAAACATACTAGAAATAGGTACTGAATAACTCTTTTTCCCTAAATCTCAGTTCCGAGTCAGTATCTCTGTCCATACTTGAGAGCCCTGGGTTACTGATCTTAATGATTTCCATTAGCATGCAATCTTTGCCTCCTTTCCATTCCAGGTGAAAACATGTTCTGAATCCTCCAAACACTCCTGTTGCAGTAAGGCAAACTATAGCCATATGATAGGGTACAGACGTGTGCTTGGCAAATGTTGCCTATATAAGTGAATGTGTGTGGAAATTGTGTGCCGTCTTAGTGTTCAAAGGATTGTAATTGGAGGATAGTTGAAGAAAAAAGGGTGTAACTATTAATAGAAATGGACTTCTCAATTCTGGTTAGGAAAAAATAGGAGAGGCCTGGGCGTGGTGGCTCATACCTGTAATCCCAGCACTTTGGGAGGCCAAGGCGGGTGGATCACCCAAGGTCAAGAGTTTGAGACCAGCCTGGCCAACATGGTGAAACCCCGTCTCTACTAAAAATACAAAAATCAGCCGGGTGTGGTGGCACACACTTGTAATCCCAGCTACTCAGAAGGCTGAGGCAGGAGAATCACTTGACCCGGGGAGGCAAAGGTTGCAGTTAGCAGAGACCATGCCACTGCACTCCAACCTGGGCAACACAGCAAGACTCTGTCTCAAAAAAAAAAAAAAAAAAAAGATTAAAAGGAAAAGAGCAGACCGGAAAGAAAAGCTGAGATGCAGTGTATGACAAAAATGTGCCAGTGAGAGATTATTTGGAGGATATATCAGAAAAGAACAGGAAGTCGAAAATAAAACTAGGAATCTGAATTTTGTTTTGTTTTGTTTTGTTTTGAATGTAAAGGAGAAAGAGGTCAGATTTTTTTTTTTTTAACTTTTTTCTTTTCTTTTTGAAACGGAGTCTCGCTCTGTTGTCAGGCTGGAGTGCAGTGGCATGATCTAGGCTCACTGCAACCTCCGCCTCCTGGGTTCAAGCGATTCTTCTGCCTCAACCTTTCGAGTAGCTGGGACTATCGGCGCGTGCCACTGAGCCTGGCTAATTGTTGTATTTTTAGTAGAGACGGTGTTTCACCATGTTGGACAGACTGGTTTCGAACTCCTGACCTCGTGATCCGCCCACATTGGCCTCCCAAAGTGCTGGGATTACAGGCGTGAGCCACCGCGCCTGGTTGGAAGAGGTCAGATCTACCCAGATGTCAGGAAGGGTTCCTTAGAGTAGATGACACTTGATCTCAGCCTCACAAGATGACCAGGCATTGGTGAGATGGGCTGTAAGGTGGAGCGGGACCTTCTCTACAAGGGGAGCAGTCTTCAGGGTACCTCGGAAAAGATGAGGTGGTTTGGCATGGTCAGATGCAGGACTCAACAGGGACAAAGTGAAAGAATGGGTTGGAGAATGCAGGAAAGGTCCAGGTCCAAGAGTTTTTTGGTTTTGTTTTTGACACAGAGTCTTGCTCTGTCACCCAGGCTGGAGTGCAGTGGCACAATCTTGGCTCACTGCAACATCCGTCTCCCAGGTTCCAGCAGCAATTCTCCTGCCTCAGCCTCCTGAGTAACTGGGACTACAGGCATGTGCCACCACACCCAGCTAATAATTTTTTTTTTTTTTTTTACACAGAGTGTCACTCTGTAGCCCAGGTTGGAGTGCAGAGGTGCAATCTCAGCTCTCTGCAACCTCCGACTCCCAAGTTCAAGCGATTCTCTGGCCTCAGCCTCCCAAGTAGCTGGGATTACAGGTGCCTGCCACCACGCCCGGCTAATTTTTTTTTTTTTTTTTTTAAGAGACGGGGTTTTGCCACATTGGCCAGGCTGGTCTCGAATTCCTGACCTCAGGTGACCCGCCTGCCTCAGCCTCTCAAAGTTCTGGGATTACAGACGTGAGCCACCGCGCCCGGCCGACACAGTCTTTAAATGTGTTAATACCTTTATCAGTCTAAGTTCAAGTCTCAGAAACCTTTTCTTTCTTTATTCCAACTTTGATCCAATTTCTCTTATTTCCAAGATTTGATTCTTGGGTTTTGGTGCCGATGTTGGCAGTGCCAGATGGGGGCAGGGCAGGATGGGAGGCAGGCATCTCAATGGAGGTCAAGAAGTCTGAGATAACTTCCGTTTTTTGATTGGTTGACTGGGTGGAAGGCGGTGCCTGGAGATCTGGTTTGAGGGGAAGATGATAGAATTAATTTTGTATTATTCATGTCACAATTAGGTTGTTTATGGAACACAGCAGCTATCAAAAACTGTAAATGCACATTTATTTGCCTATCTGTTTGTTTTTTTTTCCCCTCGCAGGAGAGCAGGAATTGTGTTCACTATTGTAAACCAGTGCCTCGCATGGTGGCTGGCATATAGTAGGCACTCAATACATATTTGCAAATGAACAAACTGTATGGATGCTGTTTGAAAGTGGCCAATAGGCAGTATAGAGTTTATGAGAAAAAACAGGGGCTGAAAATAAAAATTTAGTAGCCATCATCATAACTACCATTTATTAAATGCTTACTATGTGTTTAAACATTTCAAATACATTAGTTCATTAGGTTCTACTTTTTGTTTTGCTTTGTTTTCGTGATAGGGTCTCCCTCTGTCACCCAAGCTGAGTGACAGCTCACTGCAACCTGGAACTCATTGGCTTATGTGATCCTCCCACCTCAGCCTCCTGAATAGCTGGAAGTAAAGGCACGTGCCACCACACCTGGCTGACTTTTAAATTTTTGGTAGAGATGGGGTCTCGCTATGTTGCTCAGGCTGGTCTTGAACTCCTGGGCTGAGGTGATCCTCCTATCTTGGTCTTCCAAAGTGCTGGGATTACAGGCATGAGCCACCACTCCTGGCCAATTCTTAAAATAATTATGGTGGAGATTGTTATTTCTATATCAGAAAACTGAAAGTTGGAGAGCCTGATGTAACACAGAATGAATTATGTGGTTTATAATGGCTGTGGACGTAATTTTTTGTTGTTGTTTGTTTGTTTGTTTGTTTTTGAGAGAGAGTCTTACTCTGTCGCCCATGCTGGAGTGCAATGGTGCAATCTCGGCTCACTGCAACCTCCGCCTCCCAGGTTCATGTGATTCATCTGCCTCAGCCTCCTGAGTAGCTGGGATTACAGGCGCGTGCCACCACGCCCCGCAAATTTTTTTATTTTTAGTAGAGGCGAGGTTTCACCATGTTGGCCAGGCTTGTCTTGAACTCCTGACCTCAGGTGATCTGCCCACCTCAGCCTCTCAAAATTCTGGGATTACAGGCATGAGCCACCGCACCCAGCTGGGCATAATTTTAAAAGGAGCTGGTTGTTAGGAGGAATGTAGGGAGTTAGGGACAGGAGATTTTGACGCACTGGAGTAAAGAAATTCAGTGGGAGAAAGGACACATGGAGCTAAAGAATTAAGTTGGTGTGGATATGGAGAAATGGGAACCCTGATACATGGCTTGTAGGAATGTGAAATGGTGCTCTGCTGTAGAAAACAGCTTGGCAGTTCCTCGAAAAGTTAAACATAGAATTATCATATAACCCAGAAATCCTATTCATAGGTATATACCCGAAAAGAACTGAAAACAGACAACCAAATACTTGTATGTAAATGTTTACAAAACCATTATTCATGGTAGCCAAAAGGTAGAAACAAACCAAATGTCCATTAGTGGATAAATGGGCAAAATATGATATATACAAGCAATGGAATATTATTCAGTCATAAAAAGGAAAAGTTATGGGTTGATTTTGTGTCCCCACAAAATTCATATTTGAAGTCCTAACTCCCAGTACCTCAGAATGTAACCATACTTGGAGATAAGGTCTTTGAACAGGTGATTATGTTAAAATAAGGCCATCAGGATGGGGCCCTAACCTAGTATGATTAGTGGCCTTATAAAAAGAGGAAGAAGCCCTAGCACCATACTCATACACACAGAGATGATCATGGGAAGAGGCAACCAGAGGGCAACCATCTGTGGGCCAAGAAGAGAGGCCTCAGAGGAACCCAACCCTGCCAGTACCTTGATCATGAACTTCCAACCTCCAGAACTATGAGAAAATAGATGTTTGTTATGTAAGTCACCCTGTCTATGATATTGTGTTAAGGCAGTGCTAGCAAGCTAATACAGGACTGAAGTACTGATATGTGCTACAATGTGGATGAGCATTGAAGAAAACATCATGCTGAGTGAAAGAAGTCAGACATAAAGGCCACATATTCTATGAACTCATTTATATGAAAAATCCAGAATAGGTGAATTTATAATGACAGAAAGCAGATTGGGAGTTGCTAGGGAATGAGTGGGGAGGAGATAATGGGGAGTGACTGCTTCAAGGGTAAGCATAATGGGGTTTTCTTTAGGGGTGATATAGGTGGTGGTAGCACACCATTGTGAATCTGCTAAATGCTGAATTTTACACTTTAAAATGTTAATTTTATGTTATGTGAATTTCACCTCAATTTTTTAAAAAAGTGACAGAGATAGTGAGCTATTGAAGGATTTTAGAGGTAGAGGAGATGCAGGCAATTCTGAGGTCAGAGGAAGCCATAATGAAGAGGTGGTGAGGTGAGGTTGGGAAGCTTAACGGATCAGGATAAAAATGTCAG